GGCTGTGCATGTGCCGACCGTTCTTTATGAATGCTGGACATCTCAAAGAGGGGAACATATTAGTATTCAGAGTTGTTGACTTCTATAGACTTCAACGTACATACCTATTTTCAATCAACTCCCTTGAAGGACGTTAATTACCTCACCCGTCAGCCTTCATTGTTGCGCAGTATCATCTAGTCGCTCCACGCAAGAGGAGATGGTCCGACTATCATGCGAATTGAAGGATTTATAACTCGCTCCGAGAAACACAGTGGTGGGTCATACGGCGCCACACACTTCGTCACCGAGATACGACATAGTACAGTTATACTTGAGCAAAAGATATCAGAATACGTCCGGAGGAAGTTGATGGCCGCAGGAACGGGTGTGAATGTTGAAACGAGCGAGAACACATTCGAAATGTTCGAGTTGCACAGGCATTATGCAATGCTAAATCTGCGCCCCGCTTGATCTTTCGCGAGCATGTGTACACTAATCTGCCAATTTTGTTGTATTGTCAGAGGGACGTGATGGTCATGGGGACTGTGGATTGCTTGGGGCAAGAAACCTCCCTGAGCGGACGCAACTGGATTGACGATGATCTTCTCCGATGAGCTACACGACTCCTGGCAAGTTTTACTCCTCGTGATAGAGATCGTTGGCAGCGTGAAGTGACGAACTGAGTCGGAAGGCGTGCCTGAGGAAACCCAGTAGAAGATTAATGCACTCAGGGTTACCTATACGGGGAGAAGGAAATTAAGATAAGTCTGGCGGCTTGGAAGTGAGGGGTTTACGAACGTCCACAACACAGCTTGTCGTACAGGCCCAACCGGTTTCACGCCCGTTCATCTCATAGAATACCGTGACGTTGACCTGTATTTTATCAGAAGCCAAGCTAACTTTGACGACTCCCAGGTATGGAAATCTCACGGTCAGCACGATAAGGGTCAACATCGTCGCGCTGATTGTACAGGGGTTAGTCAACATCGAACAGGCAAACCAGTTAGACACTCACACCATTGTCCTCCATGCTACATTCCTCAACGGGGGAGACATGACTCTCGAGCCCCATAACGGCAAACAGAACATGCAAGTAAAGAACGTGTCCAGGAGAGAATCCCAAATCAACACCGTCAACAATCTGTTGTCCCGATTCTGAGCAAAAGAAAGAAAGAGGTATGTATGAACTTACATGTAGTTCTCAAACTTGTATTCGCAAGTGCCATCAGCTAGGATTCTAGCTGACACACCAACATAGGTAAGGGCGAAGACCACTACCCAACCCAGTTGGGCGAGAAGACATACACGAAAAGCCCCGCTTTTCAGTCGTGGGGTATTGAGCCCCTGAGACCATACAATGTAAACCTGGTGGGTTCGACAGTATTGGCGTTAGCATCGCAAAAGACTCAATACGTGTTTCCCACCTTCTCCACAAGGAACGCAGAGATCAATACCTTGATGAGCACGCTGTGAGCCGGGTCAATATAGCGATATTTTCGAGCGAACCTTGGCGATCGCATATAGCGTGGTACATGTCAACATTGCCGCCGAGCAGACTCTATAGTTCTGTGACGTTCCAACGCCTGCGAAGAGGAACCCGGCTGCTCGACAATCGTTTGAAATATGCACTCAAAAAACCGAGTCGGCGTGCTGGAACGGAACTTACCGAGAAAAACAAATATCCATCTCAGGGAGGGAAAGTGACGTTGCAAGCTAATTCAATCCTCCGAAATTGTAGGAGTACGAGAGTGCTCACGAGTCAACAAGTATCAGAAGCATGCAGACCTTCCCCCAAGTGAGCTGTCTCCACTCCGCGAGGGTGGTCGGTACTCGAGTTGATATTAGCAAGGAGAGGAGGGAGCTTTTGATTGTGAATACCCTGCGCGAGGAGTAGAAGACTAAACCTCACCAGCCAAATAGGCAGCAGAAACTTGCCGCCATCTGTAATGATTGAGTATACTCCGGGGATTTCAAGCTCATTTCCAATCTAATCAAGATGTCGTGGGTCGAAAGGAGGCAGCGAGGAGAAACAAAACTGGCAGGGATCAATAAACAATGGTAGACGATTGGACTCCATATATACTCTGCCTTGACAGGAGGACCCTTCGGAAATGAGCGCTGGTATGGTCTGTTACATAGCGTTGGAATAGACGGAAATAAACGCCAGCTGAATGATTGCATCCTTTTCTAATCTACTCCTAGACTATTAATTAACCGCAGGAACGGCAGTATGTAATTGCCGTGTGGCATGGGCTGGCCTCGAAACCTCTTTGGGTGGTTCGTCATGGTACGGGCTTGGTACGGGCTGCCCAATCCAGTTCAGCTCCTTCCGTGGATGATCAATCTTGTCGGGCAAAGATACTTGACCAAACGGACCGGTATCCGAAATCTCGCTGGCCTAGAAGGATAACCTAAAGTGGGAGCGAAGATCAGGGGAGTTGGCAGGGAGAAACAAAGACGATCCCTGCCACGCGACGCTAATGTCGGTTCATGGGCACAAGTCCCGAATTTTAATACCATCACTATTCCGTGCTTCTTTTGGATGTGTACATGAATATATAAACCCAACTCGGCTAGCATGCCGCTCGAGGAGCACATTCACATTCAAGCCTGCGGGAGCTTAAGTAGCAATCAGCGAGACTGGGCGGTTTGAAAGGTATATAAGGGATTTTGGTTTCCACTGACGGCTAAATGAGTTCAGGCTACCGTACAAGCTACCGAACAAGTACGCATCGTCCGATCGCGCGAGGTCATCAAGGTGATATTTTTGGCTAGCAGGATAGGGCCATCTCAATAACGTGAGTTAACACAGAGAGGAGACAGGGCATCCAGAGGACCGAGCAACGACAGGTGCCTGCATGGGACAGAGGCTCAGGAATAATCTGGCGGTCTTCACTTAGCGCATCCAGATCATCGTTGGGCGTATCGCATTCATGTGAATTGAGTAGAGGATACTCACGGGCAATGATTTTGATTGGCCTGAAATAGATGACACCTACCCAGAATAGACGCGTGAATAACCATCTTAAAGGCCTGGGGCTCCTTCCTAGATTGCTCCAGCTCATACGCTCACAACGCCCTTTCATTCAGTACTGATACGGATGGCCCTGAGGGAGTATTGCAAAGGCACCCCAAGACGATCAAAAGCCCGAACAGCATAGCGACAAGAAGTAGAACATTGATTGTCAGTTCTCGGTGCCTTGTGTTTAAGGTCGTGCAGTCCGAGCGGGATTTTTGAGATCGTCCAAGTCCGGTCCTCGTACTCCGTACAGCTGGGAAGGTGTATGGAATCGATAGGGCTGCCTCACTGGAATTTCACCATGAATGCTTACTATCCGTCGTCAAGGTTGGCTTGATATAACGTCGAGAACTGTCATAGACTCTCTCAGGATCTCCAATCTATGCAAGGGCGACTACTCACGTGCTGGGAACTCGGACATCTCCAGAGTTACGTTAGAATTCTTCGAAATTTGCACTCGGGCTCGGCTATCTGTTGCGCTCATACCATTCACTTGTCTCGCCCTACGATTCTCCTTTCCATTTCTAGTACGCCCGCCATTCATTATCTGTCCTCAGTGACAACATCGCCAAGCTGACTGATAGGTGTTGCTGGAGAGAGACTGCAAAAGAGTGAGGAATGGACGGGAAAGTTCTGAGGGGAATGCGCTGGTATGTCGTTTACATCTGAACCACCCGTCCTTCCCCCTTTTTTCATTCTTGTTCGCTGTCAATGTCTCTGAGCTCTCAACCTCACGTGAACTCGAGCCTTATCTTTACCTTCCCTTCGTGCCGCCTCGCCCGACGCTGCGACTTGCTCACAACTGACCCAACCTATCGGAAGACATGAAGATATCCATTTGATCGGCCAGTGGAAGGAGATCGACCTCTTCGGCCTATGAAACCTAGGATACCCGTTGGATTCTACAAGCACCCTACGGTCGGCGGCGTTAGTCGCTGTCCGTATCTAATCTCGCTCGCCCTCCCTCAACGATACGGGAAGACAGTCATACCCTTGATGTATCCCTATCTACCGTCCACGGCGATTATATTGCTGACCGCCCGCCTCTCATTTTCCGGTGCTGCCGTCTGCTGAACCGATAGAAGAATGTCGCGTAAAGAGGACACTTGACGACATCAAGGTACAAATGGAAAAGGATCGGTGGATCTCGCGTTGGTAAGTTATCATAATTGCGTCTTTGTATATGCACTTCCATGGCCATTGTGTACAAGCCCACTTCCCGTTACTCCAGACCTCGTCTTCAAGGATTCCGGGTTTGTGGTGCCGCAGAGGTCCTTTGTGGAGGCTCTATTGTCAAGATCTTTGTCACTTCTTCGCTTTGAGACCGGATCTGATGTAGCCCTCATGCGTATTCATGAGTTTTGATTAACTGGCAATGTCGTCTTTTTCTTTTCTTTGTTGCTGGCCAGCAGCCGAACATTCTGTTCTTTCTCAGACCCTGCCGTGTAGTAGAATCGTACCTCCTGAGTGCGTATGGCACCTGGGTCTGCTCTTTGGCATTCAATCCGCTTTTCAATCCCCTCAACACATTTGCTGTCTCTTATTTACAGGTAGTTTTCGTGCGTTTTGCAGCTGCGCGTCCCATTTCGTTCTTCTCCCTCAACCTTTACCTCTTTCGCTGAACTTACCTCGAAGTTTAACACGAGTGGGTGTGGTTTTATCTTCTCAGAAGTATATTATTCCTGCTCGCACTTTCGTTCCTGGCTTCGGGTATCAAGCATCATAGCAGTAAGCCAAGCCAGCTACGTTTCGAGTAAGCACCATTATGTACAGGTTACCTTTCGAACCGAGGGATAACCTACATTTGTTCTCGGGTTCCTTCACGTTTGTTGCAGTTTCGTCAGCTTACGGAAATCACGGCTTTGATGATTCAAGATGGTCCTAGTCGGACCGAGGTTTGTAGTTGGAGTTTGCTAATGACAGGAGAGTATATACGCGGGAGGTCGTATTTCGGGCAGAACTTGGGATTAAGGATAATGACAAAAGTCAAAAATCCACAGGGCCCAACTGGGAATTGAACCCAGGACCTCTCGCAGTACTGTTGTATTTTGACAGAACCCAAAGCGAGAATCATACTACTAGACCATTAGGCCGGTGATACCGTTGATGCTTATGTGACTGTGGTGCCTCTGAGCTTTTCCTTTTTCCACCATGTCGGTCGAAATTCGGGCAGGCACAGTGGCATTTGTTATTTATATCGCTTCTCAAATTCTCCACACCCACTCATGACCTTCTCAGCAGACACAAACGCATGGAAGCGGTCCGCTTACATGGCAGCTTAAAAAGGCTGGTCTCGCATCCCGAATGTGAACGAAAAATGATGCGTATTCCAATTGTGCATCTCCTCTACCCATTGCTACTCTTCATATTCTCTAGCCCAGGTAGCAAGGCTAAAGCTCCGTCCGGCCCCTGGGACGACTTCAACTACGCGCCAAGTTCCAGGGTTGTTAGACCCGTTTCTATCAGGCGGACTGAAGGAAGTGTCAGCGGGACGCAGAATCTCCTCACCGATTCGAAGAATGGAACGGCAGATATCGCATCGGGTGCTTGGGTCACACTTGACTTCGGTATTGAGGTATGTAATTCATTCGAACGTTCTTCGTACAATACCAAAAACAATTTACTACTTGACCAAGATCGGAGGACTCATATCAATGACGATTCACCCCTCCTCACCAACACCACAATTTGCACTCTCATTCACCGAATCACCCCAATTCATCTCACCAACTTCATCCGACGATTCATCTTTCCCTGATGCTAGCCAGACGTACGATGGGGTTCTCCCCGTCGGCCTCAACTCTACCCAGTCGGCCTTTCTATGGACGCAACCGAAAGCAACGCTCCGAGGAGGATTCCGGTTCTTGACAATTGCTTCAAAGTCAACGTTGGGACTATCGAATGTGACGTGCACGATCTCCTTCGCCCCGCATGTTGCCGATATGAGGAACTACTCTGGGTACTTTTGGGCCAAAGATCGAAGCGGGTTTCAGGACGGGGACTTTCTGACCAAGTGTACGTTTCCCTTCGTCCCTTCCTGAATCTTAGTGATGTAAGTTTCGAGTGATTCAAAGTGTGGTACGCCGGAGCGTATACAGTTCAGACAAACGTGGTGCCGCTGGATACGGGGAGGCAGGTTCCGTTTGCTGCTAGAGGGAGTAAGTACTCTTTCATTTCTCGTCCAATGAATCCCATTGGTACTGATCTTCGCCTCATTCTACCTCCTTTTTGGTAGCATGGTTCAACAACGCAAGCCTGGGCGTAGCCGGACCGATTATCGTCGATGGTACGTTCTTCCATACCACTCAACCCCACTCCGACGATTTTTACCTCAAAAAACGATAATAGGTGCGAAACGTGATCGGTGAGCCATCATTCACCTCTTTACCCCTCCTTCCCTCACTTTTATCCTCAGAGCAGTCTGGCCAGGCGATATGGGAATTGCTGTCCCGACATCATTCGTCTCTACAAATGACCTCGTCCCAGTCCGGAACGCTCTCCTCACCATGTTCCATGATATAGCATCCGATGGGTCCTTGCCCGAGTCGGGACCTCCGTTGAGCCAGAAAGGATCAGATACATACCATGGGTGGACGTTGATTGGGTGTCGTAAGTCTTCAATAGCCAGTTCACCGTCACCCGAATTAAAATTTATTGCTCTTGCAGACAACTATCACCTCTATACCGGCGATATATCGACTATTCAGTCCATTTGGAGAGACTACACACGAGCTGTCGCTTTTCTAGAGCGTAAGGTCATCTACCCGAGACCTGGCGAAGAAGGAAAGATGGGAACAGGCTTGATGAATGTTACCGGTTTGAGGGACTGGGCGCGGCTGGGAGGTGGTGGTATCAATGCTGAGGGAAACGCCATTCTTTATCAGGTGAGTGGTATCGCTGATTCTCGGATATTACTCTGCCTTGGATGTCTGATAGTTGTAATGGTGGCGCTCCCCGATGTCATAGGTCTTGGTAACGGCTGCTGAGCTAGCGGAAGCTGTAGGCGACACTAGTTTATCACAAGCGTACGCAAAGAACGCCACGGATATAAAAGTAGCTTTTAATCGAGAGTTTTGGATGAACGACGTCGGTCTGCATCTCTTTCTTTCAATGTTGTCGAGTGTCTACTCACGGCTCCGATTCTGATTCTGATAGGCCTATACCGAGACAACTCCACGACGACAATGGCACCCCAAGACGCCAACGCCCTCGCTGTCTTGTACAACCTCACTCGTGAAGAATCTTGGAAATCGCGTGTGAGCCAAGGTTTAACGAAGAATTGGAGAGATCTGGGCCCCGAACCGCCCGAGTTGCCTGATACCATCAGTCCCTTCATCAGTGGCTTCGAGGTGGGGTTTCGATCAATTTTGGGATTCTATGACGTATTAACTAAACGATTCCCAGCTTCAAGCCCATTTCGAAGCGGACCAACCGCAGCGAGCGCTTGACCTCCTTCACAGGACCTGGGGCTACATGTTATACACGAATCTAAGCGTCGAGAGCACGCTACTCGAAGGATTTACAGTGAATGGGTCGTTATCGTGAGTACTGATATATTCTCTTATTACTCATCCATCTGACTGACTCGTGTATAGCTACCGCTCTTACCGTGGCTATAATTACGACCCGGCCTATACCTCCCATGCTCACGGTTGGTCTTCGGCCCCTACCTCAGCACTAACAACATACGTTCTTGGACTTGGTGTGACGACGCCCGCGGGAAAGACGTGGGTTGTCAAGCCGGTCTATGTAGAAAAGGTGAGCGACGGAGGGGATGGTGTAAAAGGAGGTTTCGAGACGCCTTTAGGATGGTTCGGCGTTGAGCTTTCCTGGGCTTCAGCGCAGGAGTTGAAGGCGAAGATTGAATCGCCAGGGGGGACAAGTGGGGTATTCATTGTGCCAAGTATCTTCATGAGCCTTGATAACGTGGAAGTTGAAGTTGACGGAAAGGTTCAGAGAGAGGATGCGAAACGGTCTGTAGCTTTGAGTGGCGGCGTACACAGTATCAGTGTTCGTACCATTAGTTAGTTTAGGTATATCCAGATCCTGACAATCGACAACACGCTTAACGGCGTCCTTTCGTCGCTGTAATCACTCGGTCTTCACCCGCAATTGTAGCAAGCCAGATCTATCTCGCAGCCATTGCCCGTGAAGCTCAACAGATTGATATTGATACCTTGCCGGTGATAATGAATTGCAACCAAGGCTGAAGGATAACGGCCGCTCACGAATCGCCCCGATGATCAGATTGTGAATTGGGTACTAACTCCCGAGAATCTGTAACAGAATGGAACGTCAATTACAACAATAGCAATATGCCAATTCAGGCGGTGCAAGTGTCATTTTGAATACACACCACTGTTCGATCATACAGCACGTCTGATTCACATGCTCCCTCAATTAGTTCCCAAAAAGGCCTGTAAAGAGAGTTTCGTTCGTTATCGCCGTGTTCCAGGTTACCGAAGTTGTCGGGTTATGTTATTCGCAAATTGCAGGAGAGTTTTTCATTGACTGGTGCACGAGAAACCCGCGTTAATGGTCTGTTAGAATACACACTAGATGCTACTAGGCAACCCCTCTCTCTTATCTCGAGATACCAGAGCCCACGAACATAAAACTAGCCATCCAAACCCGCTTGGTATGCCCTGTGAACCCTTCGTCCGTGTCTCTTGAGATCAGATCGTGAATTGAACCTTCTACCACATGTCTCACACCCAAAAGGCCTGTGACCTCCATGAGACCTCAAATGATCTGGGAAGTCTGAATGATTCAGGGTGGATGAATCTTCGAGACTAAAACTCACATTGAAAGTTATGCCTTTGGGTGAATCCTCTTGATGTACATCCGGGAACTTCGCAAAAATAAATCGGCCTGGTCCTACGATTTTCCATCGCCACCTTCGTGTAAGCTGCAGAGCCCACCGGTCTAAGAGATCCAAAGTCTCCAAAATTCGCGTCCCGGGAGGGGTAAGGGGTGTCGGCCGTTGGGGTGGTATCTATATATTCTTGAAACCAGCCGAATGGTAGCGCCGTATGATGTGCTTCGCCATTTGCAGTTACAACTGCATTATTCCACGAGAAGGAGACATCCTGTCGAACAGCATCTGGATGATTAAATCCATCATGTTCAATAAACGATCGGCCATCGTCAAACAACTGTGACAAACCGTCCCTCCCAAAGTCTATACAGGGGGCGTTTCCACTCGCCGGGTAAGACTGTTGGGGGGATTGGTGAATCTCAGGCCAGCTATTGGAATGGGTAGGAAGTCAGTGATACCGGTTGATCGTATGATGTGGAGGTTCTTACCCCAAAGGACTATCCGTAAGCGTAGAGTGGTTTTCAAAAGGCGGTGGGTTCATTGTCCCGTTTTCAATTCCGAAAAAGTGTAGTTGCCCCGTGTCAACGTTCGGAATAGTGGATATAATTTCAGGATCGTCCGACGGGTAATGGGGATTGACTAGGGGTTTGTATTTTATCCACACTGAACGAGCGCATTGACGGGCGACCAAACCTTGAGAACTAGTCGTGGGGTCAGAGGATTCGAATTCTCCTTGGTCTGGAAGATCGTCCCTTCAATCTGGTAAGTCCCCGGCGTGTCAAGAAACAAGAGAGGGCTAACCTCAATGTGCTGGGATCCATGTGAAGCAGCCCTCAACCTCGTACAATCTTATACCATATATATCCTACCGATAGGGAAAGAGTGGTCGAGAAAGGTCAACCCCTTGTGAAGGAACAGGCGCCATCTGCATTGACATTGATGGACGGCCTAAGGTTTACATCAGTAGCTCTAGAAACCCACGCTATGTAGGTCCCCCGCTTATCCGTGAGGCCCCTATCGCGGGATCGCAGTTTGGAGACAAGGGAGTGATGCTTCAAATGATAATTGGATCCGTTGATTGCTTTGATCCCTTCACTCGAGTCTCAAGGTACATCATGACCCGGCGGGTCCTGAGCAACAATCCTAAACCTCTTGCTTCGACAGGCCTTTGACGGGTAATCTCTTGACTGGACCCCCCGCTTTCTCGTGCTACGCAGTAACCCACGCATGTGCTTGATGTCTGCTTGTCTTCTATTTGTGCTATTATACTGTACA